ACATCATACACGAATAGTTAAAAACTGGCGTATGTCTATGATTGAATAAAAAAGTTACACATGCTGGGGGGCAAGAAGCATTATACGTCAACATTAAGAGTTGACGTTTGCGTTCAATCGGCAACTGATGACGTATAACTATCGTTCAACTGTACGATATAATTGCTGTAACATTTCAAATCTTTCATACTATACAAATGGTTGTTTCACAACTAACGAACTATGGACATTTCACATTTCATATTAGGTAAGTTTTTTTATCGTAATTGAAAATTTCAACTTCAAATCGGGAATAACTGTCTAATATTCCACATACTGAAATATTAATTCCTTCGTTTCATCTTGTAAATTTGCAACAACTATTTTTACCCTTCTGCTTACTGTAGATATTTATTGACTTATTTTTTTAAATTTCTAATAAAATTAGGATTTTACTCAATGAATCTATCAAAATCTCTTGAATCCAGGGGAAAACCCGATTTGAAAATGAGTGTAGACATCAATTGGAATTGCAAGACACACAATACCTGATATTTTCTGTGAGACAATGACGAGACTCACTATATGTAAACGTAATGATCTTTTCGAGAGTAAACAGTAGGTACCCACATATTCTTTCATTTATTAATATTATGTAGGATTGTAGAGTTTCAATTTGTTTTATTTTTCTTAGAATTTGTTATGGTATTCGTTGATATTTTTCCCCCTTCTTGAAATCATTGAAGTTATAATAGCCAATGTGAAAAGAATTGTAATGTAACAACTAAGAAAAAAATTCGATAATATGAAACGTAGGTATAATTTTCAACATAAACATGTGGCAGACAGTGATGTGTGTATTAAAGTTCTCAGGAAGATACATAAAGAGTTTTATTCAATTTGAAAAAGAAATATTTTGGAAGATATTCATTTTTGAAAAAGCTTTTTCCCCAAACAAATGAGTATTTTATGACAGCATTCACTAATATTTTTCACAAACTACTGAATATTCAGAGAGGATGTCAGTCGACTTGTGGTTATAGTACCAATTTTCTCAATACTCAGTGGCCAGTTCAGAACTGAATAATTTTCATCTGTTGAATGTGTTTTCTAATGATGACGATGGTCTGACTTCTGAACTGAATCAGAAAAACACCTACACAAAATTCATAAACTGATTTGAAAGATTTTAATAAGTGACACGACGAAAAAAAAAGATCAATATGAAAAGAAGGAAAAGTAAAGAACAAAAAACTGAATAAAGAGAAGGCGATGAAAATATTGAATTCACATGATTATAGTGAATATGTGAAAGAATTGAAAAAACACATCGGACTTTTATTTTATAACGAATTCGTCTTCAGATTTGTTTTTCAATCCAAAGTGCTCACTACTAAGGGGTTTTTACGAAGAATGTTAAACGAATTTTACAACATATGAAACTTAAAATCAAATGTAACATATGATTTCATTGAACAAAACTCAAAAGATTCAACGAGAGTTAGTGTCGTTAAAAAATGAATTCGGGGAGAAGTGAAAACACTAATACAGCTGGCCAAACGTTCGGAGCTCAATGACCCTTTGGAAAAATCACATTCGTCTAAAAATAAATGGTAACGAATTTTTTCAAAAGTTTATATTTATCTATCGCGTAATCGACCATCAATTTACAAGGAGATTGTTGAGAATTAAACCAATACTCAATAACAAAAGTAATCGGACATAGACACTGAACCTCTTAAATTTAAGCGTGGGTAAAAATAATTTCTAATTGTTTTTTTATTGTTTTCAAAGATTCCTTCCTATCAGTCTAAATAAGTGAAGTTGTGAATAGAATAAATGCTGCTACAGGATGAACGAGAGATGACTAAAACATCTCGTGATAATGTAAACCTAACGCGTCGAGAGAACGCATTTTTGTTCTGGAGAAGAAAAAGTGTTTTCAATAGACTACACAACTATAATACTTCTCAGTTTGCCTTTTATTATACTAAAGCAGATTCTCTGTTGATCTAGATTTATTTTTCAGTTTGTGTACAGTGAAAACCCAAAAAAACACCAAGAAATAATATATAGGCTATTCATGTTAAGAAGAGAATGACGTCATTTTTGGTAACTTTGTATATCCAACATAACAAAGTTAAAATTCCCACTGAAATGCGTTCAACAGCAATGAAACTAGTAACATTTCATTTTGTAAGTTGTTCAACTGATAGTAAATTTCAGACGTTGCCAAATAAAAAAAAACTCGAAAACTGTCAGTCTTTCGTTCTTTTCAGAAGTAATCATTTCTTTTGATAAGACCTGCGTATATTCAATATGCCTAAAGCATTGTCGAAATAGTCCCAACCAATACTAAAAGTAAGTATGGATAATAGCAATAAAACATACCAACAGTACAAAGAAATTAGAAAGTTCGAAATAGTGCACGTGTTGGCAACGCCGTAACTTGTCATCTTGTGACGTCATTCTCTTCTTAACGTGAACAACCTATATTATGTAAATCAATTATAACACTGTTGAAAAGAAACTGAATTAACATCATGACCTACCAATGTTTTCAGTTCCGATTGAATTTTCTTACACTTTTGTCGTTCATTTACAATATCATGGCATTCACATGAAATGAAATTCATCTAATGAATGAGTCTTCTATTTTTCTCCCCTTTTCAAATACGCATGCGATTAGAAAGTTTTCCACTTGACTACCCAAATTATTTTGATGAAATATATTTAATATATTCGATTATGATTACGAAAAATTAAAAATAAAATTACCTGTGTTTTATACCACTTGTATTTGTAACGCTAAATGCACACACACCGATTTTGGACGGTCGATTTTATACCAGTCGTCCAAATTCCAATAGTGAAGTACATGTGGGAACGGGACCTGGCACACATGCTTACCGGTGATTGACGCCGATCACAGATCGGCGTTACGCTAATTGCACACACACCCATTTTGGACGGCCGACTTTGTACCGGTCGTCCAAATTCCAATAGTGAACCACATGTGGGAACGGGACCTGGCACACACGCCGATCGGTGATCGTCGCCGGTAAAATACCGGTGAGCAGCCGTCCACTGCCACTGTATCGCCGGCAGTACCGGGAAGTAGTGGCGTACATGACTAAATACAGTCTTCTTGCATACTCACCAATTTTTTACCGACCATTCCAGTCTCGAATGCTCGGTGAAATTGTAGTTACTTCGCATTAACTTCGTTTTGGTAGTGCGTGCTAATTATGACAACAAAGCAACTGATTGTTTGACCGATAAGAATCCGGTGAGTGTGCAAGCACCCGCTACCAATAAAATATCGGCCGATTTTATACTGGCCGTCCAAAATCGGTGTGTGTGCAACTAGCGTAAAGTTTCTGCAGTTTCGTCGTAGAAGGACATTTTCAAAAGATTACAATAAACTCAATAAACATTAAACTGAAAATGTTCTTGTAGGACGAAACTGCAGTAACTTTATTTACAAATACAAGTGATATAAAAACATAGTAAGTTTTAATTCTCATTTTTCATGATGATCTCCTACCACGTAGTAACGGCTATATCCATCAATTTATCGATTATAATTCACTACGTTTTCTAAAATATAATATTGATACTTTGACGAAAGTTCTTTCTGTCAACAAAAATGTTGGGCTCTGAAGTTACCAATTCTTATAGTCTAATCGACAAGTTAAAAAACATGAAAAATAGAGATGAAGGTCCTAAAAATATGAACGATAGCTCATTCGATTGGGAATCACGTCTAGAAAAAGGTTTTTGAAGGATTTTGGTGCAGGTAAAAAATTGCAATTGTTATTGACAAAATAAATAAATATTGAATATTACTGGAGTTTTTTTCCCAACACCAAATCGTTATTTTTAACACCTCGACACGTGTTTCAAAATTTGTTATGAACAAATATTGACCAACGTTATATTTTTTTTCTAAAGCAGAAAAAAATTATAAAAACAGCTATAAATACTCTTGTCTCAAAATTACGTGCGTGTTTTACTGTATTTTGTTGGTGCATGTTTAGTTTTAGGGGATGTACAAACTTCTATCAACAATAACATTTTATCAAAAAACCCTTAATAAATAAGTTTCCCATATGGTGCATATTTTGGCTATGACACTGTACATGAAGATTTTTTCGAGCACTCCAAAAAAGGTTCTGAGTTGCCTTACATTTTTTGTGGTTACTTTACGTAGAAACTTCGATTTTTGGTGTAAACGACTAAAAATTGACCTTCAACAAACTATTACTCCATTGGTTATTGCTTACTTTTAAATCGGATCCGATGTTGCCAAACTGATAGGGAATACCACCCGCATGAATTCAGTGGCCGCGTGGCGTGGTATTTATGCGATTATGAAGCACCTTAAATATATTCAGAAGTGTATTTACTAGGCATCACGCCGACGCATTCCATCCCTTCTGACGTCACAAATATTTTGGCGGGGTTTTCAACTGTTTGAATTTCAATCGTTTCTTACTCTATCCAAAATTGTCGTATTCGTTATAAATTCATTATTGTAAAAGCATTCCATAACATACATGTCTCCTACTTTCTATAAACTACTTTCAATTCTCGTGGTTGCTTGAAAATTTAAAATGTTCACTAGTTTCTTTTCATTAAGATGAATTAAAACTTATAAATTATTTGAAATAACAAAGCCGTAAATGATCTTTGTCCCACGTATTATATTTTGACCACGTGCCTGATGTTTTGAATTATGTTGCAATAACAGCCAAGTAAGTTTTATTCGGCGATATTTTACCTACATTTGAGGTCAACCAATTCTCTAATTTGTTTCAAATGAACCAATAGGTGAATTCATCAATTAATACGCACTGGGTATCACTAATTAAACTCATACCCATCTAACCATTAAATTAGGTTCAAGCTTCTTCCGATAAACTGTAGCATAAACTAACAATTTTACCTTCGTTCTGTCTTCACTATTATCAGTAACAGAATGTAGTTTAAAACAAAAAAAATCAACATTTAAAACTCACCTTCCCCTATTTTCGTGAGGGTCTTCATAATTTCCGGAAGATCTTTGGTGAGAGCGTCTGCAGGACTCGTCCTGAATATTTCCTGAACCAACCTCATGACCATTTGTCTGCAATATAAATAAAAACAGTGATTACTTTGCACTTGAAGGCGCTGCCAATTTCAATTTTTAACGCATCCATCTTGTCAAATAAAAGTAACACAACCACCCAAATGGCGGACCGACTAGCAACAACTAACAACGTGAGAATTGGCGGGAAGATGAATATCTTCGTGAGCGCTTAGGTACCGGAAGGGGCGCCAAAATATGTGCGTGCGCATATTCATCTAATCCCATTAAGGAATGAAGGTCTTCAGACGCACGATGCTTAAGGGGATGACGGGGTACGATCGGGCGGGTGTTGGTTCTCAGAAAGACTGACAGAGTTGCCAAATGTTGATACAAGTTCACCCCTGCAAGAGCTATAGATGGATGAGGATACTTAATAGTCCGGTTCATAAGTGTTATTTTACCAAAAACCTGACCTTAAACATTGAATATTATGCCCAAAAACTCAGTAAAAATAGGTGATTTGGTCAAGTTAGATTGGGTTCTTAAAACTATTAGAGATACTCGAAAGAAGGTCCTTGGAAGAGCAGGAAATTTATCTTCCGGATTTGCGTACCGACAATATAATTTCAATTTTGTAATGAAATTTGGGTTTGAAACGGGTAGTACCATTTTCATGCGTACTGACCTAATCAGACTCTTGAACAAAAACAATAATTTTGACAAGTTAACATAAAAAATCCAGATAATCATTAAAATATGCCAATGGGGAAATTACAAGGTAATAGCCAAGGGGGTCCTGAGATTCATTTCAAATATTTCATGGCTGAAGTGAAGATTATTGACTGAACCTGTAGAAAGGTTGGTTGGGTGACAAGATCAATTTTTTTCTTAATAAAAACATTGTTTTCTTGGCGACGTTTCGAATTTAATCAAATTCTTTTTCAGGGCTCTGTAACAATGAATTTTCATAAACATACCGTCCATAAAACGTATACGATTATTATCGTTTGAATTTCACAAGAAATAATGAGTTCCTAATTAAATTACTCACCGAAAAGTATATAGTTTCTTCGCGTTGACAATATTACTATTTTAAAAACCATCAGAAATACTAGATACATATTGAAAAAAAATAAAAACATTGCAACAATCATTTTTCCGAGACAACACCAACACAAAACGACATGAAACAAACGAATGGTTTTATCAGTGATTCTGATAAGGTGGTGTCTGTCTTTCAATCAATTACAGAAAGAAAAAGATTGAAAAAAGGGTAGATTATTCAGATATTTTGCGTATCAAATTGTAATATGCAGTATTGAGGTCATCCACATATCTTCTAGTGTTAACACTATCGAATTTGAGGATGTGTATCATTTCGCTTAAATGTTGTTGGATAAATATGTTTCAACATCTAGAACAGCTGAATGATCAAAATAAAAAAGGTGTCCATTTTCTTTTTCGTGTTCAACGAGGACTGTGGGTTTTTTATATTTAGTTTCTTGGAGTGTCTCATGTGTTCTGAAACTCGTGTTTTAAGATATCGCCGGTTTGACCAACATATCATTTATGACAGCTTCCACAGTTCAGTTTGTAGGATATTGGATTGTATTTCTTGTGGTGTTTTTTTGGTTTCGAGCAAAAATGCTTTCCAACTATATTTTGGAATGCTACTCAGTACCTTAATGCTCTCTTGTCCTTCATATTTATTCACCTGCTAGAAGAAAAACTTCATACATTTTCCTTGCAGCATTTATTTTATAGAAGCCAATTAAGAAGTCCCAGACATACAGTCATATTTCTTGGCAACAAAAATTGCCGAAGTACATGATTATTCATATGCAGAATTTTCCCGATGACGTATAGGTACGAACCACATCACAACAAGAATGCGGAAATGATTCCGATACTTCCAAGTATCCCGAAGATTTCATTGAATTAGATTAGTAATCAGTTCACTTCCTGCTTCGGTATGACCACAACTTGAAGACTTACGCGTCACGTCATACAGGAAACGCTTCAAGCGATAAATGTCCCATTTTATCAGCAAATTTCAGCGCGATATATATAGTCGCGTCAATGAAGTCTTTTCCTCGGAAGTCTCCAAGAACAGATCCGATTCTGATGTTTTTTTGTAAATTGCCACTAGACAATAAGTATTTTTGATAATATTGTTAATTTACCTAATAAAGAATGTTACGCGTTACTTTATTAGCACACACACAACTACTGTATTTTTGTCCACCCTGTATCAATTGGAATCAACATGTGATACATTTTTGGAATCAGCTCAGCTAGAGTAATCCGAAAATATAGACAAAATGGGGGTGTTCCATTTAAAAAAAATGACGGTGACGTCATTACTCGAACGTAATTCACCCTGTATATTAGATTATTATTTTAAAATACGGTAAATTAACATCAAAAATCGACGTGTTTCAGGATTATTTCTTAAAATGACCTGTTTAGCTAAAAATGAATTTGTTCCATACTTTACGGACACAGTGTATATGGCATCAACATCAAGTTGTTTTTGATACTAAAATAATATTTAATCTATTTGATTTCAGAATTTGAATTCTGTCTTAAAATTGAAAATTATGTAATTAAAAAAAATCTCTCTGCTTAAAATCTGTTTTTCCGTTGGTCAGCTGAGGCCCTCTAATGTCGAAACCTGCGCGAGAAGTAATTCTGATGACTTTCGCACTTTTCTTTATTTATTTTCGATTTACAATACTCACAATACGTTGAAATCCAAAGGTTATCAGAAACAATAATTTTTTTGAACTTGACACGAGAAATGTTGAAAAATATTGCGATATACATTACAAAATGTCCCTTTTGAAGCATTTTCTTTTATATGACGTACTTTAAAGACGTTTTTTATATTTTGATTCTAGTGTGTTCAAATAAAAGTAGATAGATACCGGCTTAGTTATATGAAAAAATATAATGCTCTCGTGAAGTAGTAAATTCCCCATGGAATCACTAGGATTTTACAGTTTGTGAATAATATAAACTATTTTCATTTAAAATTTATCTTCTCGCATATGAACATATTACATATGTACAAGTAATTGTTTAAAACATTATAGATCAATCGATATAGCATAAAAATTTCACTTCATCTTTGATATAAAAAAAACATAATGATTCATGTAAATTTACAAAAGGGCGAAACTATTTGTAATTCTGTATTTTTTTAACCATTCAACATGTAACACTGTAAGGTAAAAATACTAGAATAAAATGTGTAACGTATATCCATGGCTTTGAATTACCTACCACTGATATTCATTGTAAATTTACAGGAACAATTTTTATATTGTATAACTGATCATAGAAGCCCGAATTGTGACCAAATCGTAAGATATTTGCTTCGAGAAATGAGTCAATAAAGTATTTCACCTAATTTGGTCTCATGAGATTGCAAGTGAAATTTGGAGCGATTTCTGGAAGGTTAAGCAATATAATGATTATTTCTCAATTTTTCACTTTAAAAAACAAAAAATAAATGAATTAAAAAAACATCAGAATCAAAATTGTTCTTGAGGACTTCCGAAGATTGCGTACTGATTGACGCGACTAATAACCAAATTTGCGTTCGCAACACACCTTGAAACAAACCAGCATCGATGAGTAATAAAGTCGCGATTTCGCGACTTCTACGTCGCAGTATGCTTCGAACGCGATCACACGGTTCTGGAAAACAAGTTCGCGGCACACTTGATCCGGCGAAATCATTGGGCGAGGTGGCTCCGCCTCGCGCGACCGATCTAAGATGGCCGACCGCAAGGATCTAACAAAATACGCAGTATTTTCAAGGAAGATTTTTGGGTTCCGCGGATTTTTTTCGGTACCAAGTGTTCTTTTTTTTTCATTACAATTTTTAACTTCATTCGGGGATATAATTTTCAGTCTTGCAAATAGGTATTCTCTACAAAATGACTAATTTCATAATTATAATTTATTTAAAAGAAGATCATAGGTTGCTTTGAAATTTTTATCTCTATTGGAAATACTATTACTTTATGCCAACATCGCCATGTTCCACCAGAAAATCACACTTTCTTTAACAGAGAAATCAAATTTCTTGGCCTTTCAACGACATCATTCGTTTGATTATATCATTGCGAAGATGAACTATTCTGAATCAAGAAAATATAATATCATCTCAAAATCCACCACCTGTTTGAAGGGAAAAATAAACTGTTTCAAATGAAGAGCAATATCAACTTGATCTGAACACATAGTGTTTGTTTGAATTTAATACTGTACTCCTTCAAATAACTCAATTCGTTTATAACAAGAGTTTTGTGAATCTACATACAAAACTATATAATGATCGACTGAAAATAATAGGAATTTTGTATAGAATGAACAGGGTTTCTTTTAAAGAAGTATTTCATTCATTTCAGTTTGAAAAAACCTGTAGTGCTCTGGTCTTTCTATGACCCTCTTAAGTGAGAGGGTAGCGGTGAATTCCGTTGTAAGCATCGCGTACGCGCCAGTATGTGTTGGAAAAGTGTTGTTGGTGTGTTGCGTTTTTGAGGAGGAAGTGTTTTATGTGTCTGTAGGCAGTGCAATTTCTTTCCGATTATTTTGTATCTACCATAATGGAACAGATTTTACAAGACTGGGGTCGTGCACAGTTGAAATATATTTGTAAGTATTATACCTAATTGGATAAAACTCCGCTATATCAGTAAGTACCGCGTTGTATACGCAGTACCGAAGAGAAAGTGGTAAACTTTGAAGGCAACTCTTAATTTTGCCTTCATTTTGCGAAAATTGTAACAATGCTCCGTAATTTTTCACACATGAATTATTACATTTGCCGAGCTATGCAAGTGTATATTAATTTAAACTGAAAAATCCTCCACGTTGATTCAAATTTGCCAATCTCTTGTTTTGAACATACATTTTATCTTGTTTCAAATAAGAGCATTTTCTCTAAATAAAATTTGATTTTCTCTTAGACCGAAAAGGTACTTATAGTTTCGACAATAAATTATAATACAAAAAATACCAAAATAGGTACCAGTAGGTATAAAAAGCTTCTATATGTGACAGCCATT